ATATGAACTTTGGGTGTTCACAAGGTGAAATATATTTCGATCTTACACTAAACTAAACACATTTTCATTTTATTACATGCAAAGAAAAGTTTTAAAAAGACTTTAAACCTAATACTGAATGAAAAGCGCGCCAAATTATAATACAACGTGACGTCATTTACGACGTCACGTCATTAAGTTGGTACCCAGTACTGTGCACGCTGGTATTTCACTGAAACAACGTTAGGGGCTTAAATTCAAAACAGTGAAATTATCAAAGTGGTAATTTCACTGTTTCAAACGGTGAAAATACCAGTTTTATATCACTGATATATTTCTATGAACCATCGAAAAGCATGTAATAAATGGCTTTATTACACTCCTGCGCCGCGGTTTATGTGATAAACTAAATTAAGCACATGTGATCAAGTTTAACGGCATATAAATTTAAATGTCAGTTAAGTATATGATGACAAACATAAATAATTATATATATAACCTATATATGTATGTTAATAATTAAAAGGAAAAGTCTGAAATGTATTAATATAACTGATTTTCTGTCATATGTTGCGGTTCGGATCGGAATATCCGTCCCAATGGATGATATGACTTTATTTTCCATAAACAGCGTGCACAGTACTGGGTACCAACTTAATGACGTGACGTCGTAAATGACGTCACGTTGAATTATAATTTGGCGCGCTTTTCATTCAGTATTAGGTTTAAAGTCTTTTTAAAACTTTTCTTTGCATGTAATAAAATGAAAGGTCTGGAATGCCTTACTTTTTACGAATATTGTCATTCAGTAATATACGTAATTTTTCTTCACTTGTTTTGTTGGAAAAGCAACTGTCTGAAAATAAATTGCCAAATATTTCACTGCGTAGTTTGCTTTATAATGTACAATGGAGTAAAAATGTGTTTCATTTTCAATTTCATTACTATTAGACTGTGTGCATTATCTATCATTTAATTATTGGTTCATTTATGTACCTCCCAGTGCAATGTACAGTTGCAATCATATATAAATTAATTAGTACAAAATTCAACTAGAATCAAAAGGGGACAAACCCAAAAGCGGTGCAACGCCACAGAACATCTGTAATCAAAGCGCTGACAGCACTGACTTCATTTATTCATTTTTCTTGCATAGCAGACTGGCGTTTCCGTAAGGTTTACCCATGCCGGAAATTTCATCTGGCATGGGGGTGCGAGATAAGTCGCGTGCCATACAACAACGTCAATTTAGCGCATTTTATGAATGAACCTCGTTAAAATGACGTCATTTTAGAAGGGAACTATGTGCTTCATTTCGTCGTTGTTATTAAAGTTGTAAATTCATACGCTTTTGTAAGAAAATAGTAATGGATGATATGACTTTATTTTCCATAAACAAATATCTTATTGAGGTTAACAATTTTAAATATGAAGGAATAAATATCTGACATATGTTTGCGGTTCGGATCGGAATATCCGTCCCTCGGGAACGCGCACATGGGCGGTAACTCGGCAAGCCTCGTTACTGTCAAATAGGCGGGATCCCCTTGGGACGGATATTCCGATCCGAACCGCAACATATGACAGAATTTATTATTCCTTCGTTCTTTATAGTTTAGTAAATAAGAATGCCCAATAAATGTTGTTACCTAAATTCTGGCTTATTCATTGCCACTTGAGTGATAACCAAAAGTGTGACGAAAAATATATTTATAAGTCTGCTTTATTATCGTGAAAGCTTACATGCAGTTACTCACCAATGCCTGTCATCATCCTTAATTTTAAATGTGTTACAATTGATGAGGCGGTGAGTGGCACTACACATTAATTGTGGAGACAACGAGGACTGGGCACATGAGTCCCTGGTACACACCTATATATTTCTATTATTGTCACAGCTAGCTCTAATACTCTCATTGTAGGACGTAAATCATGACCACTTCGTTTTCCGAAATTACCTCTTTAAGGGATTGACGGTGGCATGTTTCAGGTCCGCACTACTGTTTGTGCCTGAATGACGGATGGACCATCATTTTTACATTCATTCTTAGCTGGTACCACAGACACTTGGCGTTTGGAGCTTAAAACGTCTTTAAAATCCGAATAAAATATATATTTGTCAATTCCAGCACATGTACTGATCATATATATAAAAAAACTTAATATAAGCCGTTTTGAAAAAAAATCATATTTCAACGTCTATAATAATACACAAGATAGAAATGTTCGCCGCAAAAAAATCGCACACCTACCGTCAATATCACCATGTATTTTATTCCATTTCCAATATTTTCACATAATCCCTTGGTCCATCGACACAGAAGATATAATTCTTCACGATGTGGTCATTTTTAAACTTCAACGGTAATATAAACAAAGCAACAGCCGACATTCAAATAAACGTCAAGATTATCGCCGTTTTACTGCATTTACAAAATCTTTCGATAAATTCAAACGTGGTCCAGCTTTGCCGTGTACAAATATGCCCCGCTTTTAAGTTTAAGAAACAACATATAATCGGATGGCTTCGTCCATAGCTCGAACATTCTTTCCAGGTTTTTTTCCAGGCGAATTTAGAATAAAATTTCAGCCAAACATCGGTTTCTTTTTCAATTTTGTATGATACTAATGAGAATATCCAAAACTGGTGAAATATTAAAGTACATAGTTAGTTTCAGCAAATGATATAGAACATATCATTTTTTTCCTTTTTATACCCCCAAAAACGAAGTTTGGGGGGGGGGGGGTATAAAGGAGTCACCCGGTGGTCGGTCGGTTGGTCGGTCGATCCAGACGTCCGTTGCATTTTCCTTGTCCGGAGCATAACTTGAAGACTAATGATTGGAATTCAATATAACTACACACAATGGTCAAGCACATTGAGAGGAAGTGCAGTGCACAAGAACCATAACTCTATCTTGACTAATTACAGAGTTATTGCCCTTTTTTACTTTTTCTTGTCCGGGGCATTACTTGAAAACTACTGGTTGGAATTCAAAACAACTTCATACAATTGTCAAACACAATAAGGGGAAGTGCAGTGCACAAGAACCATAACATTATCTAAAGTAATTACAGAGTTATTGCCCTTTGTTACTTTTCCATTCCTTTCTTTTGTCCGGACCATAACTTGAAGACTTATTGTTGGAATTCATTATAACTTAATACAATGGTCAAGCACATTGAGAGGAAGTGCAGTGCACAAGAACCATAACTCCATCTTGACTTATTACAGAGTTACTGCCCTTTGATACTTTTCCTTGTCCAGAACATGACTTGAAAACTACTGGTTGGAATTCAAAACAACTTCATACGATGGTCAAGCATAATAAGGGGAAGTGCAGTGCACAAGAACTATAACTCAATCTTGACTAATTACAGAGTTATTGCCCTTTGTTACTTGTCCATTGCTTTTTTTGTCCGGAGCATAACTTGAAGACTAATAGTTGGAATTCAATATAACTTCATACAATGGTCAAGCACATTGAGAGGAAGTGCAGTGCATAAGAACCATAACTCCTTCTTGACTAATTACAGAGTTATTGCCCTTTGTTACTTTTCCTTGTCCAGAGCATAATTTGAAAACTACTTTATGAAATTCAATACAACTTCATACAGTTGTCAAGGACATTAAAAGGAAGTGCAGTGCACAAGAGTCATAGCTCCATTTTGACAAAATACAGAGTTACTGCCCTTTGATACTTTTCCTTGTCCGGAGCATAACTTAAAAAGTACTGGTTGGAATTCAAAACAACTTCATACAATGGTCAAACACAATAACAGGAAGTGCAGTGCACAAGGACTATAACTCCATCTTCAGTATTTATAGAGCTATTGCCCTTTGTTCCTTTTCCTTGTCTTTCTGGACTTATTACAGAGTAATTCAATAAAACTTCATCAATGGGGCCCAAAACCCCTTGAAAAGGTGCAACATACAAGGAAAACCCCAAAATAAACTTTAATTGGCCCCCAACCCCTAAAAATCTATATTTTTAATTTTTTTACAAGGGATTTTTTACTAGTAACTCCTCCCTTTCTGAAGCAGTCTTGTGGGGGTATTAATCACATTTAGTGATAGTTCTAGTTATTGAGGGTAGCTTTAGCAAAAGGGAATCTTGACTCCATTCTATATCATTCTTCGCAGATAATATGAGGTTGGCTCATATGACTATATTAATTTGTAGAGTTAATGGCTAGGTATCGTTCATATTCTTAGGGATATTTCTCATATGGGGTTGCGACGTGAAAGAAGTGTATTTGTTTGTTTTAATGACCTTGGCATGTCCAACGTTTTGTTAAGTTGGCTCATTTGGGATCTGTAGGGCTTGATATTAATTGGTCTGTATGCATACTTAAGAGCCTTAAAGTGTCCAACCTCATATTATCCGCTAGCTTCTTCTTACAAAATTAAATGAAAACTTTAAATTACAAAATGTTATTTTGGGTTGTAAACGTTTTCATCTAAAGAGTAAATTACATGTACTTATTTCAAGTGATAAACTAGACTGACAAAGCATCATGCTATAACATAGGAAAAACAACAAGCTACTGAATGAATATGTACAAAACTCATGATCCAGCTTTTACACCAAAATGACTATTATCCCTGCCTGTTAGCCGTCCTGTTGCACTGTTTCACTTTAAATATTTCTAAGTAATTTGAATATGTTTTTGAGCTACTTACTGATCAAATATTATGCAACAGTCTCCAAAGCATGCAAGATTATATTAAAAAAAAAAAAGAAGAAAAAACCTAAAAATATTTATAAGAAAATGAAAGATGATATTAAACATAAAAACGCCTAAGTAATGAGCTTTATAACATTTCAAAATTGGCTTCAGATCACATAACGTGCACATCACCTGATGAAAAAGTATATATTTGATGTTATAAATGTAACAAATTGTAAACAATATATATTGTATTAAGCCAATCTTTTAAACTAGTTCTTAGTATGCCGGAAGCGAAATATTTTTAAGAAATAATTTTTCATAATTGTATATAAATAATGTACTACATGTGTTTATTGAAATATTGTTCGCATTACTAATTATTGTTCTTTATTTGAAGTTTTTTATTATTTTATGTGCTATAAGTACAGAGCGGTAAATTTCTATGGATTTTTTATTGTACCAATCACCCATTTCACATTGAACTACTTGATATAAACAATAACAACAATTCTATTTACTATAATTGAATATATACAGACATGAACTTGTATCATAAAAACTATATCTGATTCATAACAGTAACAACAGTTTTATTAGTATACATACAAATCAGTCTCATTTAACTATGATATAGATGGCCGCGCATATTTCTGTTTGATTAAGAGTATGGGCTGTACTGCAGCCTGGTGGACATATGTCATAAAGTCATAACACACAAACAGTATATGATCATTAAACTAAAATATTTATAATGCCTTTATGTTTTTGACTTCATTTTATTGGCTGACAATTATGCCTGAAGTCTGACAATTAAGCCAGAAAGGAGCTTACACAGATGGAAATGTGCTGCATTGTTTCTTGACCTTTGTTGAAGAGAAAGCAAGTAGCATTTTAATGCTTGTTGAGGTCTGTTTTCTTGCTCCATGCATTGTCCTAAAATGTTGAGAGCTGTTTCTCTATGCCTGAGGTTAACATCAGTTACTATGGTTGTTATAAGTTTACTAAGTGCTTGTTGTTGCTCTTGATACATTTGTAGATGACTGTAGATCTTGTATTGTAGGAAGTAAAGGAAAGGTAGAGAATCAACTACAGCACAGTCCATCCAACAGTCTTTCCTTTCATCTCTGTGTATTATGTCATCTCGTGTAGATCTGAACATTTCATATTGTAGTTCATGAGGAACACAGTTGATTTCTGTCTGTATGAATCTGACACAAATAGCTGTCTTTTCGATATAGTTCTCACTTTGTTCACTACATAACCTCATTAATTCTGCTGTAACTGCTGGTGGAGGGGTTTCCCAACAGCCACAGATAGGTATGACAGGATAACAGTAATATTGTTGTTCAGTGTGTCTCAAAATGAATTCAGCTTTCTCCATATATCCTGAACTGTAGAACACTGATGCCAATTTAAGCCTGCTAGATGAGATATCTGAGTTTACACCAGCTGATAGCCAGATCAATGCTTTAGGTGACACTTGATTACTTTCACCAATGCTTGATGATGCTAGGGTAGATCCATATGTGGTAAAAATAAATGGTGCAAGGAACTTGAATGCAGCATGTTCTAATCTATTACCATTATCACTGAAGTTCAACAATTTTACTATATGTTGCTTAATTGTTCTAATGTTTTCATTGTGTAAATGATTTAAAATATAATTATAATGTGCACTTATGGCCCTTGCAAAGTTTAGATATTTCCAAGCCAAAACATGTTCATGTATTTCAAGAGAAGACATAAAATAGTAAACTCTGTGTTGTACCATGTTCAGTTTAACTTGAAGTCTATGGCCAAGATCATCAATATCAATTCTAAGTAAATGTTGCCTATCATTCTGTATAAGTTCACAAATATGTTTTGAAAGTTCATGTTTTGTCTCAGCTGTAAATTGCCCTGCCATCAAATTATTTTCCGGTATGATGAAATGTGAACAACGGTCATTCTGTACACAACTGTGTAATTCTAATAAGCAGTATGTTAAACATGTCAATAAATTGTGATCTTTCCATATACTTGGTTCTGTCTTTTCTATACAATGGAATAGAACTGTTTTACACATGAAACTTGATATATTGATTTCATCTTGAGGATTAAGGAAGGATTTAAGAATCATTTTCAATAGCACATAGCACCTTATTTGCGTTATATTTAGACTAAACATCAGACATCTTTCTGTCAATGATGTAGATATTCTCCATTCCAATTCAGGATATTCACTAACCTTACTACCAGTTGCAACAACAAAACACCCAGTACTGGCTGCATATTTTCTCATCTCTTGTGTTGGCCATCCGCCAATACCCTGTCGGTCTAACCAACCTAATGCTGATTGAGGCCTTGATTTACATGGATAAGCAAATACATTGTCAGTATCTAAAAATCCAGGTTGCCGTTGGTTAAGAGATGGTCCATGCTGCTGATGAGCACCCTTAACGAAAACATTGATAAATGTACTTTTTAACAATATTCTTCCTCTTGCATCAGAAATATAGTGTTCATTAGGAGTGCCGGTAAAACAAAGAGGTACATAAGGATCGAGCAGTTGTAGGAAACAATACCCGGGGGTAGTGTTTTCATCCTGTATCATGAAGAAGTTCATCTTGCCACGTTCCCACTCTGACCAGCATTGTATTATATTGTAATCACACTCAGAGATTACTACATCAGTGTCTGAATAAAGACCAATAGTAGTGGTACCTTCACTCTGACTCCCTAGGTTATATTCAATAATATTTTTATCAGTTAACTTGAACCTGATATTAGCTAAAGTCTCTCTCTGTATGTCCACTCTTCTCCTTTTCACCACCAGTCCTTCATTGACACCAATGTCATTTAATACCTCTGATAACATCAGTGAGTGATAGGTGTTCCCTGTAGGCATTTTCTTGAAACATTCTGTAATACATTTATGTAGTAAAAGAGAAAATTGTTTCAGTCAGCTACCAAATCAATGTTTTTGCTTGTTACTTATTTGTCCTATATTATAGAAAAGAACAGAACAGAAAAGCAAACCCAGACGTTATGAAACATATGATTAATAAGTTGCCCAGGTAGATATCAATTGATAAAAAAATATTGCATTTTTTTTTTCTATTTTTTTGTGGTATTTTTCTTCTATCATTAAAATTCAAATATTTGATTTCAGAATTTTGATAAAAGAGAGACACTAAAATTAAACACTCTTCAAACATTCATGTTACAATTTCTTACATAATTAATTCATCCAATATGAATGTGAAATTGTGTATATAAAATGAAGTTTTAACCTTACTTTGAATGTTGAATTTCATAGTATTTCATAGAAATAATCAAGAGAAAATATCTCTTTTCATTTTGACTAGATCTAGTTATGTGGAAATTAAGATATATATAACATCACCATATATTTTAAACTAGAACTGTGTCCAAAGGACACTGATGCCCCCACTGACAACTTATATATGGTATATAGTGAAAAAATCAACAAAGGGCCATAATTCTGTTAAATTTGGTCGCAGTGAAAATTCCTTCCTTTACTGCCATTTACACATTAAGGTTGTTCATCCCTGGAAGTTTAAGCAAAATCTGCCATCCGGCTTAAGAGAAGTTGCGTTCACAAAATTTCTACATAGTATATAGTTAAAAAATCAACAAAGGGCCATAATTCTGTTAAATTAAGTCGCAGCGAAAATTCCTTCCAATACTACCATCTACACATTAAGGTTGTTCATCCCTTAAGTTTAAGCAAAATCTGCCGTCCGGTTTAAGAGGAGTTGCGTTCACAAGATTTCGGGACGTACGGACGGACAGACGTACGGACGGACGGACGGACAAGTACAACGCTATATGCCCCCCTTTGTGGGGGTATAAAAATACATGATAGGATAAAATTTATTATGTATATTATGTATATTTCTATTTAATTAAATAGAGAATTCTTTTAAACAAATATGTGTTTTTTTTCAATTGGTAAAGGGAGACACTAAAATTAAAGACAATGTCTGAATATTGCCAGAACTACTTTCTTACATAATTTATTCTATATAAATGTGAAGCTGTATGGATAAAATTAAAGTTTTAAACTTACTTTGAATGCTGTATTTAATAGTATTAGGAAAAAACGGTTACTTTCCTTTTGACCAGGTAAGTGGAATTTTGCTATTTTTACTTCCTCTTTTGGTTTTGAATGAACTGAAAGGGAAATTACTCACATCCTGTTATGAGAGTTAATAGAATAATGTCCCTTAGGTTGTTTTTTATTTTGTCAAATGTATTCTAAAAATACATGGTAAATGTATGGTTTATCTGTAATTAATTATAATTATAATTATCTGTATATTTTTCTCTATTTAAATTATATAAAATGTATTAAAACATACATTTTTAAAGAAAAATATAATTATACTATTGTAAGAATGAATATCTCTCACTGTGAGTGATACATACTCTATTCCAAGATTCGCAGACTCGCAAATTTGACGGCAAAAGCCATCATCACTTTTTGTGTAATTTGTATGGTTGATATCAATAATGTCTTTTTCGGTATTTTAATAAATAACTTCATGTAAGAAAAAAGAAGATTAATATGTACAGTAGTTCATAAAAAGTTCATAAATTCCTTGATAAAGAGGGTTTAATGAACAATTTGAAACATTGCTGACTGATTAACTTTGTGCATGAGACAGTTTAAATTATTCTGTTTCCATACTCTCACAATCAGTTAATAATATCTCAAAAGTACTGTACTTGTATTATTATTCGCGGCAGCAAATTTTCGCGGAAAGGTCCATTTTGAGGGTCTATACAAATGTTCGCGCTATTTTGAATTCGCGGAGATGACTGCGGAAAATCATAAATTCGCGTAAACCGCTCAGATATGCTATAATGCAGTTAAATTGTTTATTGATTTTTTTTGTTAAGTACACTGAAATGCTTTAAAATGCATTAAATTTATTTAGTTATAACATCATAATCCGCATGTATATATGTGAAGTAATCGGGATAATATAATAAATGGGAAATTAGGGGACATGTAAGGGATACAACTAAGGGACTGTTAATATCTCAACATATTGATAACAGGGATTTTAAGGGCAATTGACTGTACATTTTATAAACATCTGCACATATAAATGACAAATTATAGATGTTGGAAAAGCAATGTATTTTCAAAGTATTTCAAAAGAAGTATGATTTTTGCACCAGTTATTGCTTTATGTTAGCAATTGCAATAGTCAGTTGTAACTAAGACACGCCCATCTACCAGAAGGACAATGTTGGGGGTGGGGGGGGGGTGTTAAGTTCCCTTAGTTCCCTTAAGGCCTCAACAGACGGTAGGATTTAGTTGTACAGCACTAATTGGAGATAAGATGTACAATTTTCAAAGCAATACAACACTTACATTCAGACGGTAATTCTACACTGTAGGAAACATGTAGGAGGTTTTCCTAAAAAGGATCCCTTAACATTGATCCTTTACATTCTTTACTCACTAAATACTTTGTTCGCCATGAGTAATGATTGAAACACCTCCATTTAAAATTTCTTTTAAATGTGAAGCCTGTCCGAGACTCAACCTGGGACCCTCGGAATACCGTACTGCGTCTCTACTGGCTAAGCTATCCGGCTGCCTATAAACTACCTCCCCTCCCCTAATTAGAGAACGCAGTTCAATACCGTGACATAATCATTTTCGTAATAATTTGGGATTCCAACATAACACAACTTTGGGTCTCCTGAAGAGATTTTCAACATCATTTTACCCCCATCTTACTTCTATGTTTACCTTTTAGCCCTCATTGTTCTAGAAATTCATTCATTTCACCCGTTATCAGGAGATAATTTGGTTATCTGATACTTGTCATTGTGGGAGGTCTGTAGAAATCTGTACGACAAGATTTTCAAAATGTCCTATCCCTTACATCTAGACTTAAGGTTTCCGAATTCAAGAAATAGTAGCCTTCACACATTAAGATTTTCCTGCACATCTTAGTTTTAATTCGTGTTGTACTTCAAAATCCTACCGTCTGTTGAGGCCTTTACTGACCTTAAAGAGCAATGGTTTTGCTTTGGTGCCAAAATAGCAAGGATATGTACAGCTGCCCCTATTTATATTCAGATATACATTCTCCCATCTTTCTATAAAATATATAAATAGATCCATTCCCCCAACATTTTCCCATCTTCAAAAAGTAATTTCCCCATCATTTATCCACTTATAAATAGACGCATACTCCCATCATTTTCCTATCTATCTATAGATGCATTGTCTCCTATAAAAATATGCATACCACCAATCCCCCCCACTTAGAAATGTATATATTCTCCCATCTATTTAAAGATGCGTTTTACCAACATTTTCCATTCTATTAAATCTATAAATAAATGCATTTTTCCAACATTTCCCATCGGTAAAAAGATGCATTCCCCCATTATTTCCCCACTTAAAATTAGATGCATTCTCTCATCATTCTATCATCTATCTATAGATGCATTGTCCCAACATTCTCCCATCTATACATAGATGCATACCCCCAATCACCCCCCACCCATTTAGAAATGTATACATTCTCGCATCTATTAATAGATGTATTTTCCCAACATTCTCCTTCCCATAAAACTATAAATAGATGCATTTTCCCAACATTCTCCTTCCCATAAAACTATAAATAGATGCATTTTTCTAACATTCTCCCATTTATAAAAATATACATTGTCAAAACATTCTCCAATCTATAAAAAGATGCATTCTTTCCCACTATTCTCTCATCAGTAAAAAGATGCATTCTCTCCTAAAAATTTTCCATTTATAAAAAGATGCATTGTCTCAACATTCTCCTGTCTATAAATAGATGCATTCTCTGCAACATCTCCCATCTATATAAAAGGACACATTCTCCCAATTATCAATAGATGCATTCTCCAATCTATGCAGTCTTTTATTTGCTGTGTCCATAATAATGTTATAAAAGTGTCATTCAGTACTTTAGTTTACATCATATTTCTATATATATCCCATGAATTTTGCAGGAGTTTGTTCTTGCTTTAAAAATTTTATGTGATAAAAAAAGTCTTACAATTATGTTATTTCAGAATGGTAACATTGAACTTGTTCCTGTATTGTTATGAAGTTCACCAAATGCTTGCTTTATAGCATTTCCCATAAACCGAGCATTGTGCAAAGGTTTATAAGATTCCTTACACTAATTAGATGAACTTTTATAAATGTATGTAATAATATAATTATGATATAGTTAATTGTAACATATTTTTACAACTTAAAAAACCTGACAATAATTCAGATAAAATATCTGTTAAGATATTCTTAAAATTATGTCATTGAAGGCATAAAAAAGATGATTTAGTGTTCACCCATTTACATATACATTGTATAGACTGAGAGAATGTAATTAAAAGTTGAAAAAAATATAGTAAATCATTTGTTAATTACTCAAAACATGAATAGAAATATAACAGGGGTGTGTCTTTCAGCCACATGACAATGTGTTTTGGTGCGGATATTTCAACTTTAGGATATAGGATAGACCTGCCTAATGATGAGGTTATGAAGCACGAATGCAAATTTGGGAGCCCTTCAAGCCGTGGACCAACTGGATCTACAGAGATAGGAAAGTAATGAAAGTGTCTCTTCAGACTGTGAAATTAGGACTTCAAAATCAATTAACACGAACAAAGAACTTAATAACAAAAAAAAAAAAAAAAAAAAAAAAAAAAAAAAAAATTATGGACATAAATGACGATTGAAGATTATATTTTATACATATAAAGCATACATTGTCTTTATGAAGTGTGCTTCCAAGTTAAGTGAAAATCTCCGTTCTGTATGATGAAAGCTTTTAATTCTTAATTTTTATATTCAGTACTGGCAGTGGAATTTTCAGTCTTTGCCATCAATTTAGAGCCAGGCAAGTCTGCATCCAAGCCCTCTGTGTGGCCCTCTGTGTGGTCTGACCAGGCTGTATACTGTTTTAGCTCAAATTTTGTATCTTTATTTTAAAATCCTTAAGCTTTACATAGACTGTTCCATATTCAAAGTTGGGCGAATCCATTTTTTTTTAATTTTCGGGTGATCAGTGTTAGTATGAGGACTTAATCTGGATGTAAGTTGTCTTGTAAAATGTCAGTATAAAAATGTTAAACATGTTTGTATACATGTATTTTTACAATATTGTGTTGTTCTGAATTGCATATACTTTCAATGGAACCCTTTACCATACAGTTGCTCCATACTCAATTGCCTTTATCATTTCTGTTCTCTGTTTTTGTACTCCCAATATAGGGTGGAGATTTAGATTTACCCTTGTCCGTCCGTCAGTCCGTTCATCCGTCCGTTCTCATTTTATGTCGCACGTAGCTCAAAAAGTATTTGACTTAGAGTCATGAAACTTTACAAGAATATTGGTCAGCATGTTGTGCACCTGGGTGTTTGCGTATGGATTTATTCACTTTTTGTAAAGTTATTGTAGAGTTATTGCCTTTGACTTACAACAATATCAGAGCTTAAAACATCTGATCATATATAAATACAGATAAAAATATTAGTATTTCAAAAGTGAAATGAGAAGATAAATTATACTGTGTAACTCTTTAAACTTTACAGTAGAATGCTTTGATTTAAACATATTTTATTGCCAAAAATAAGACATATACATACATGTAGACAGTTGCAATACAATGACATGACATATTTGGCAAAAGGGTTGACCCACAAGTTCTCTCAACATTAGCAACGGGTCTTCCCTGATGCAATAAATTACAATAACTTATTTTACAAGAATGACTATCAGTTAGATAGAAGTAACAAAACTCACACATATATAGTACTTGGCTTTAAAAATGATTTTAGGTAAGAAAGAACAATAAAAGTGATTGGGTAGTAGAATGCTTTAAATTCAAGTTGTCCAAGTTTTACAATTTTGTCAAAAATAATGGATTTTACCTCATTCGCCTTTTTATGAATTTGTGTCATCATCATATTAAAAATCAAAAGTGTTGCTGTATAAAATAAGATGTTTGCAAATTTGCCAAAAGACAATATTATCGTTAAAATATTATCAAAAGCCTTTCGGACATTTTCCAAGAAATGAATGGTTTAAATTGTTTTGATCATATGATTAAACCAAGTTTATGCTTATGGGTCACAAATATGGGGTTTTGAAAATAGT